CTGAGGCCAAGAGCAGCTGATCTCAGCCTTATTCCAACACATACTTGCGTTCTATTCTTTGTCAGATATAAGCTGCCCACTGACAGGTTTCTGTAGCCCTAAAACCACATGACAGCAAGAGCACCATCAGCTAAAAAACTGGGCTTATCTTCCATGGAAATTTGACTTCTTTGCTCAGGATACCACATCTACTCTTAGATTTTTATTGTGAATCAAGTTTTGGGGTTATGTTAATTCTAAATATCTTACAATACATCCTTGCAATGCATGAGATAGAGCAGTGATGAAAGACTCTCTACTTCACAAACTACTCAGCCTCCCCTTGACTTCTAAAATATAAAAACTCCAACAAATAAATACCTTATGGCATTAACGAGCTTAGGTTCCTCTAACATGGACCAATCCTTTCCAATTTTCTTGCTTCTCACCTGTCAATTTCCTTCCTATACGAGTAATGTTCATTCTTCTAACTCTCCTTAGAGCAAATGGACAATATGTGTACAAATGTACTAGCCAGAGTGCATACATGTGACAGTGAAACACCACACTGTCCCTTTAGAAATGCTGATCAAAATCTTACAGCATCTCATCCATTATAAAAGTCATGGTGATTTTTTAGTGAAGTATTTTCATTCCAGGGATATAAGAGAAGCAGGACCAGAATGACTGCTGTGAGTCAGTAATGTAACAGAGTGTTAGGGCAGTGCTGGTTGCTGAACCTTCCAATGCCATGGTGTCATACCTGTTCCACATGTATGCACACATCCCTTACTGAATTGAAAGGCCTAGAGAACTAAAGTTATCGGAGCTCCTGGAAGGCTGATGTGAGCAGTGAAGGCACACGAGGATACAAGTAGAAACGAGTGCCAAGTCTGTGGAGGAGTGAAGCCAAACTAAAAGAATCTAGACAAAGATGAAAATTCAACTGCAGATTCAAGAAAGTTTCAGATCTGAGCTTCCAGTTTGGTTAACAACACAGAGTCTTGGCTTTATTTGTTTGTGTCTCCAGTGGTGGCAAATATCTTCTACGTTTTCATGGGTGAACAAGTTAAAGGAAAATAGATGATACGACAATTTTTCTTTTTGATTTTGTATGTGTAGAATGAATACAATCACTGTTGTCTGGGAAACAGGAAAAGAAAAATGAGTCTAATTCAACGAGGTGGATTTATGATCACGATACACACACAATATTCATATATATATGTAAATACATGTACATATTTATGCTTACCAAGGCATGAGTCGGCCAATTTTTGTCCATCTACTTTTGCTAATAAAAAAGCCAGCAACAGGATCAGTAACTGCACCTGAGGCTTTGCCAATGAACAGCACCAAAGAGGCATGAAACGGAGTAATCTGAAAGTACAGACAGAATACTGTAAACAAGAGCCATTGTTTCACAATACAATGAAACAGCATAAAGCAACTTTCCAGAAAAAAAACTCAGTGTTTTAAAGAATAATGATAGTTCATTTACAAAACATGTCTGCTGCTGTCATAGAAATTACTATTGGTTACCCATAGCAAGCAAATGAGACATTGAGATATGCACCATGCAAGAAGGGATTAGAGAGGGACAGTGCGCGGAAGGAGAGATTATGAATGTGTTTAGAACTAGGAAAATGAGTCAGACAGTAAAATAGACTAAAGTCTTTGTTTTAGTCACAAAAAAATCTGACAAGAGTCCCTCTGTAATCATCCCCTCACTTTGTTCCCCACACAGCCCCATTTCGCCATATCTTTATCTCGACCTGATGTAGAAAAAAGTAGATGGAGCTGTTTACATGCATTCATGTGTTTTCATCTCCTGAGATTACCAACAAGGCTGCCAACTGATGGCATGTGGCTGTGGAAGAGGTTATAGCACAGCAGACTTTATCCACTCAAAACTGAACTGTGACAACTGAACTGCATAAGGCACATCTGTTCAAATCAACATTGCCAGCACATGTCCAACAAAACTCACTTGAAAAATGTTCACAGATTACATAAGCATAAAATGGCCAAGCAGAGAAACCTTTGAAGTTAACCCATGAGGATCATACTTAAGTGCCTATCTAGAAATACAGTTTCTCCCAGGCAACATAATTATTTTCCACAAATATCTGTAGAATTTGTATCGCACAATGGTTAAAAAAGGTGAGTTCTCTTCCAAGGGCTCAGTTCATGCCACTGAAACTACAGGCCTGAAAAAAAGTCACTGAAATCCATATAAACATGAACGTTCCTCAAATCAATTATCAAGAGAGAGAGACTGCTGAAACAGCCTATGCAGCTTAAACAGTGACAGCAGACAATACCCCTTCATCTATATGCTTCTTCATGCTACCAGTGCTCCGATGCGTCGGGAAGCCTTGATACAACACCAAGCTTGAGCTAGTATCCCTTGCTTTTCTGCAGAGCTTACTGCCTCCTAGGCAGCATCACACAGCTTCCAGCTGGCACTGGTCCCCTGAGCACAGAATTTGCTGTAGGTATTCCCTCAAAGGTGAAAAAAGGAAGCAATAATCTCTGAATGTCCTGGATGACCTTTGTAAAGGGTAGATGCTATGTACTTTTGTATTCGCACCTCTTAAATTTTAGCCCAAATTAGGCGAAATTGCAGGGGCAGCCAATCTTCTTGACATCACCAGCTCCAAGGCACATACTCCACCCTAGAAAGCTTATGAACATGGAAGGACTGGGAATGGTAGTCTCCAGCAGGTAATGACGGTGGCTCTCCAACCATCCTATTGCTGCACTGTAGGACATGGCTGGGGTGAGCACTGGGCTGTGCCCCACAGCAGTTTGCAGATGTTCAGCTCATCCACCTTTGCTGCCTTGTGCCCTCCCACAGCCAGGGTGGCAAGTAGTCCACTGGCCTCGAGGTGGACTTGCCACGAGGGCTACACTGCAACTTCTCAGAAGTCACTACTGCTTCTCAAGAGACAGGTCAGCCAAAGTAAGAATAAAATAGCAGTTAGAAAGATACAGGGGTTGAAATACTGCAGTTATGAGTGACACAGGGACAGAAAACTACAAATTAGGTGGGTTTTGCATTGGTATTTCATTCAGATGACTTAAATATACAGAAAGGAAGTGGATATTAGAAAAAGAGAGGTGGAAGAAAGCCTTGAGGAAAATTAAAACCTCTCTTATGTTAGGAGTAGAGTCTGTATAGTCACCCTATCTTCATCATCAGTATGAGCTTATACATCCCTTGGCTGCGTTTTCTTAGCCCCTAAATCTCAACAGTATCTGTCAGCACCAATGCCAGAAACTTCTCAGTGTTAATAAGATACAAGATAAAATTCAAAAAATTCACTCATCTCAAAAGGAATAAAGACCAGGATCCTATTATCAGAGGTTTTGGTGTTTTCTGGTAATTTGACTCAAGGATCCTGTGTGGTTTGGAATTACATTTATATGTCTGTAGTTTGCACAGGTAATTTAGGTGGAACATGGAGTTCAAATAGAAAAACTGTAAGCTACAGAAAGTGAATACAAATGTAATTTTCTTAGAGAGGATCTACATTATGCATGAAAGATTACACCTAGCGAGTTTCACAGCCTCTCAAAGAGCTAAATCAGATCTGCCCTCTAAGTGGGCAAGAATTAAATCCAGGTAGTGACTATAAAATTGCATGCTCTCCCCTTAAAATGTATGGAAAAAGCCACAAGGTTTCAAACCTGTTTATCAGGCCTCGCTTCAGAGAACAAACTAAACCATCAAGGAACAAATAATTAAGCCCCTTAAAGAAGTAATAAGTGTATCATTACAAACATTAAGCAAAATTATTGGTTTTCAGTAGGAGTTTGTTAAAAAAATAATTATTATTACGTCATTTATTTAGGTAATGTCCAAAGATGCAAGAATGGGACCTCAGCTTTCTGGACACTGTACACAAGCACATAAAGAAATAAACAGTCCCTAGCTTCAAGAATTTTCAGTTTCTGTGATGAGCAGATAGTGGGGAAATTGCCATATTTATACGCACCCTGGGAAAACTGTATTAGTGTCTTTCTCATTCAGTTCATGCCTCATCAGCTCCAATGGCCTGTATCGCCATCCTTGATGTAACTGTGAAACAGCTGTAGTCAGAGCTGCATCCACCTCCCTGTTGCATCTCTAAGTTACCTGTTCCACCTCCAACTCCTCAGACTCCACACTATCCACTTGACATTTTTGACACTGCTGTGCAGAACTGGCCCTTTTCTAGATCTTATGACTTTGATCTCATCGAGACACCCAAGATCTCAGTTTTACATGCCAGTCTTACTGTGTTGCCAATTTTATCAAGGAAGTCACATCTCAGGTTCTGCTCTCAGTCTTTTACAGGAAAACCAAAAACCCAATCTTTCGGACACCTCCACTCCCCAAGTCATGATATTCTTTCTACATCTTAAACAGCAAATGGATAATGATATCTGATCCAGAACCTCCTGTTCTTTCCAGCAAATAAAACCAGTCATCAGTGCTCAAAGCCACTCCTGTAGTTTCACGGACACCTGTTCTCACAGTCCCTGAAATTTGGCCTCAACTCCCTAAAATCCTTTATCTATCCTAAAATACTTTATCTGTCCCACTTAGTTACCATGCAGACACATAAGACAATCCAAAACAATACAAAATACTTCTGGATTGATTTTCTTTGTTTCTCTGCTGTCCTGAAATCTAGCTAGAGCAGCGGAAAGTCAGAGGAATGGGGTGATTCCTACTGCTTTGTTTTATCAGGTCTGCTTCCGCACCAGAAAGACACAGAATAGAAGCAAAGAACCTTCCGGAAGGATAACTCAGCTTCCTTTGCAAAGAAATTATCCTAGACAAACCACATAAAATTTATGTGAAATTATGTTGACTACTGGATGCAACTGCAGTGATTTTTAACTAAACCAAATGAACAAAACTGCACAACCTCAACATGGTGCTATTAATGTTTCAGATGTCTCACATCTTACGCTCTCTGACGCTTGACACAGAGAACTGCTTTTTCTTTCACCTGCAAGTGGGCAAGCTCCACTACAGTGCCTAAAGCTCTACTAATGATCCCAAACTAAGCACAAAGATTGGCCACTTCAAGACAGAAAGGAAACTAGTAAAGAAAGAAAAAAAGTATTTCTGGACAAGCTTATGCAGCTTCCAGGATGCTGAACAGCTAGAGGCAATGATAACAACACAATTTAAAAGCTTTTTCACCTTTAAAAGCTAATTCACCTTTTATTATTCCAGGGACATTGTTGACAACATCGGAGTTGAGGTAAGTCTACACTCTGTAAAGATTTCTTGTGCTACTTACATGGGCTATATCTAGCAGGTAGATCTGTAGGAAAAAAGCAGCAGCACTCCCTGCCACTTGATTTGGGGCACCTCCTATTGCATAGCATAATTTGCTGCAAATCGAGAGCCTGTATTCCTGTTCAAGACAAAGCAGAACAAATTATGAGAAAAACAGGGTACACAAGTTAAAAGCTGCAGAAGTCGTAATGTTAAAGTTTAAGGCTAACACCAAATTCAGGTATTAGCTTCACAGGTATTCCACTAATAAATCCATATGCCCTCAACCCCTATCATCAACAGGCATTTGAATGCTCATTGCTTTGATTTTTAACGGTTTTGTTACTTAATTCGGCCCCTAAAATCAGATTACAATTTCCTACAAGGGAATCTAAGCCTACCTAACTGCTTCTCACAAGCTATTAAAAAGGAACAAGTCTACAAACAAGCAAGAAGAGCAAAGAAGTGCACATACTGTTACACTATTTTCTGAACTTAGTTTTGTCTTTGAATGTTTAACTCTTTTTTTTTTTAAGGATGAAACTTTTTTACTTTTTAAAAAAAATAATTTCTTATTATAATCTTTCAGATCATAATAATCAATATAAGCTCTCATATCATAGTAATTAGACAACATTCATAGAAGGAAAGTTCCATAGTCAAATTCAGACCAAATAGATACCAAATATTTGTGCTTTGTTCCTTCCTTCCTTTGTCACAAAATGCCGGTGTGACCCTGGCAAAGTCACTTGACTTTGCACATCTTCCTTTTGACTTGACTTTTCTGTATCTTTTGTGAAAGCTGGAATAATAGGGAAAGTTATTTTGGGGCCCAAGCCCTCTTTAGGAAGGACTCTAAGTGACTCTAGGTGCGTTTAAAAAAATTTGCAGAACTGTGCTCTCTCATTTGCCTTTTAATGTTTGAAAAGTACCGTGTTTAAGAATATTTTCTAATAGAATTGCCGAGTAAGATAAAAGCTGAAAATAATGTTTCTTAACAGTAATTAAAAGATAAAAAATGCACAAAGTCTAATAGAAATTCTAATGAAGAACACTCTGTTTTCCAATAGTAGAAGTTCCAGAATATGGGAAAGCCTTTAAAAAAATCTGAAGACTTAATTTCATGTCATAAAATTCAAAATACAGAAAGAAATTGACTCTTCATTATCTTGTATTCCTTTCAAATGGACAACATATCCAACCTGAATTTAGACTTTTAGGTTTTCTTTAGGCCTTTTTAAGGATCAGTGTCAGCTGGAACTAGGAAACATGAAGAGGCACAGCAATATTAATCCTGGGCCTGCCCTCTCTCTGAACTGACTACAGAAACCCGTAACTCTTACATTAGATCAGGATAAAAATAGAGATACGGTAATGAGATGTACCACAACGATAATATTCTGATACATTACCTAATTTCTGAACATTTTTTAATTTACTAAGTACCATCATCTTTACTACCTAACAGAGTTTTGATACGTTTTAGACTTCTAGACATAGCCTTTCATCATCTAATCATTTTCCTTTGAACTGTTTTATCAGAGTGGGTGTGAACAAGAAGGCGTAAGTATCAGGACTCTTTCCTTTTTGTGTTTCCACAGAGAAAGAGAGTGGCATCCTGTTACTACTCCCAGGTAAAGTAGACAGTGTCAGGGCACGAGCTGCAAAATGGTATCGCCATAGCAGGCCTCACTTATACTTCGTATTGACAATTTTCTTCTTTCCAGGAAAAAAAAAAAGAGTGGCAAACAGTCAAAAGACAGACTTCGTCAGAACCATATACTATTTAATTTGAGAAGAGATTTTAAACACAAACAGACTATATATATATTTGCTGTACAAAGTAACTCAATTTTTCATACATAAGTCGTATTAAATGTGAGCTTACTAGACTTGTGGGGTCTACAGAATCTTGTTCACTTGACTTACAACACAGTTCTCTTGAGCTTTGTTCCAGGCGCTGTGTTCTTTTAAACTTTATCACATTGTTTTATTTTTTAATCATTCCCTCCTCCTAGCCTCACCTCCATCCTCCCAGAAATCACAGTACTTGAAAAGTTTATTTTCCTCTGATACCTTACTTTCTGATCTCCAAGCACTGGAGAAACCAAGGGACATAAACCACTGCTACGTAAATCCTGTATCCCATCCCATTCCACTCCTAAAACAAGCTGAGAAAAACTTCTGGATCCATAATGCTACTTTCCCATTTATTTTCCCTAGTAACTGCCATAAAATCACAGAATGGTTTGGGCTTCAAGGGACTTTTAAAAATCATCTAGTCCACCCCCTCACCATGGGCAGGGACATTTTTCACTAGATCAGGTTGCCTGAAACCCTATCTAATCTGACCTTAAAGACTTCCAGGGACAGGGCATCCACTATTTCTCTGGGCAACCTGTTCCAGTGCCTCACCACCTTCATTGTAAAAATTTCTTCGTTATGTCCCTCTTTCAGTTTAAAACTATTGCCCCTTGTCCTTTCAATAGCTAAGGCCATGATAACATAGAAAAAGTAAATGCGTCTATATAATATACATGATTTCAAAATATTTTTATAAAACAAATAATGTTAAGTTCTTAAGAACCAATCTCATTAATGCTGTGGTATGGGAAACTGTCAACCAAGATGTAAACTTACAGGCTGCAGGCAGTACTCCTGTCTTTACATCAGTTTCATTGTTAACTACTTTCTGAACCACACTCCCTGGTCACCTTGAAGCAAAGATAATACTTTGGTCACAGCAGTAGTTATGTTTCCAATAAAATTTGTTTATGAATGTTATTTTCAGAATAACACAAGTTGTCAGATAGACAGAGTGTACAGAGGTGTCCTGTTCAGTCAGCCACAGAAATGCAGAGTATCAGCAGTTCATGAAATTCCTGAAATGGAGGTTACATCCTGACTACTGTTCAACACCTATTTTCCTTTTATTTTGCCTAATTACTTTTGGAATTCATTCATATGTTAAGTCATAATATACCACAGCAGTTCTACACGAGAATGACATGTACTGTCAAAGGAAACGCCACTGCGTTCATTTCAGACCTGCTGCCTGGCAATTTCATTGAGTGCCCCTGAGTTTGTCTGCTGAGAAATAATCATTCAGACCCGACATTCTGGTCCCTCTTTCCAAAAGAAGCAGCCCATAATCCATTTTGACTCTCTGTATTGAAGTTATATGGTAATCACTACATATTCTACTTCAGTATCCTGTAAGACAGTAGTAAAAATGAAGGTAGGTCTCTGCACCAGCAAAGCGGAAAGATTTCCTTCCTTCCAACTTCCTGGGCTTACAGTTAAGAGTAGAGAAGATCCATGTGGCAGCTGTCTGTTACAGGGTCTAGATGAATAAGTCCCCCAGCCTTGGTTGGTTTACATGATATTGCTCATAAATGACACCAGAAACTGTCTTGAGAAGGATAACACCGCACTTGTGCAGAGCAGTGTGACCAACAGCAGTGCATTGGCTATGAGCAACTAACAGGGTTCTTCTCTTAAGGCTGAATTTCCCTGCTGCATTGATGCCTCAAGCAACAGAAATTGATTGTTTTCTGTGAAATCCAGTGAAAGCTTTTTCACCTGTGTGTCAGTAAGCCTGAAGTACTCAAAAAATTCACTTGAGATCTGAATGTGTAGACAGGGGTCAAAAATAAGGAACAAAATACAAAGTATTTACAATTAAAATCTTGTTTTGAGACACCTGGGGTGTAGTTGAATGTCAACAGCAAGTTGCTTCTACAAGTTTTAGAAAAAACATGAGAGAATGGGGTGGGAGGTAAGAGAAAGGAAGGGTAAAATGAAGTTTATAACATTTTTTTATTCCTAAATTAACTTGCCAATTTTGTACTTACACATGCCCCCATCATATCACAGTTAATTGTGTTTCAAGGTAAACCAAGAAGGCATAATAGCTGAGGTTTGATTTTGCTCCTTAAATAGAAGAATAAGTTTAGACGTTGTTATAGAAAATTAACGCATCTCATACATTGTAGTTTCTTTATTTTAAATTATCTTGTAAATTAAAACCATACTTTTCATTACTTGCAAATTTCTCTTCCCCAACAGAACAGAAATTGAATACAATATTTATGACAGATCATCTTATTTCTAAAGAAAGTATTTAAGCACATTGAGAACAACTCTTTGCAACTGTGTGAAGATACTGCATGAACGTTATGGGCATAGTGAGCAGCTGCATTTTGTCCTAAGCTATTCTTTATCAGTCGAGTCCAGAACTGAACCAACAAGTAATTTAAAAGCAGTAAGATGAGAGAGCAAAACGTGTGACTCAAAGATAAATGCTATCTGAGAAACAATGAAAATGTAGCCAACAAGGAGCAGCTTTTGAGTCAGCTTTTCTCTCAACATAGAATAAATACTGGTAATGTTTCCGTTCTGTGAGTGACCATACAACTGCTTCCTAAAAGCGTAAGCGTGACAGTCATCGGTGGCATCCCAGGTCCCTCATACCGAGTTATTTTAAAGATTGTTTTCAGGTTTCTTAGTGACATCAGCCCACCCCTGAGTGGAAGAAATAACAGGAGCAGGGCTTGGGTGCAGACACCTAGAAAGGGCGGATGAACAAGGCAGGAGACAGCAGTGCTTTCCCCGGATATTCTTCCAGCTGCTGGCAATACAGCGCTGAGGGGCTCTGTGAGTCAAAGACACCATATCTCTGTTTAATGTCTTCAGATTTTTCCCATGAATTCACTCAGATGCTTTCCAAGCACAAAACTTCAAGGCAGAGCAGCATGTGCCCACAGCACCCAGTGAGCTCCATGGCTTGAACTCCCTCCGCCTCGTTGCGAAAGATTATTTTGGCCCCTCTGGTTTTGAAGCTGCTCCTTCCCAGTTTTAACAGATGCCTCCTCGAGAGCCATGGAGCGAGGCGGGTCCTCGCTCACCTCTTGCCTCTCCGCTCCTACCTCGGCAAGCACCGAGTCTAGAGGAGCATATAGATACTCTCTCACTCGCAACACTCATTTGGAAGTTCGGAGTCGATGAGGCTTTGTGAGGAGAGCGAACCGCCTTCCCACCCGCACCTCTCCTGCCGTCGACACCCCCTTTGCCGCGGTGGGAGACACAGCCCCGGAGGGAAGACAAAGTGGAAAGCGAAGGAGCTTTTTCCTGTCCGAAGTGGACAGTAAATACCGTACAGCGCACTCAGGGAAAATATCGGAGTTACACTGAGCTTTTTGGTGAGAGAGACGGGGGCCGGGTGTGAGGATTTAAGAACTATTTCAGGTGCCTCGTTGAGACAGGCGGCACCGCGCAAGAAGCATCACAAAACAGCAGCAGCACGGTCGGGCTGCCCTAACCCCCCCGGGGCTGCCCCAACCCCACTCCCCATTACCTATCGGCAACCAAAATGAAAAACCAGCGCGCCGGAGCAGGAGGGCGCGGGCGGGACCGCTCCGCAC